TAACGTCAGTAGTAAGTTTATAAAACAGGAACAGTGTTAACTTCCACAGTACTTAACTTGTGCATCTCATACCACATTAAAGTGCTTCTAATTCCACAGATCAGTAGCTGTGGGGAGCAGCATACGAAGCACTAATTACTACACAGCTGATGCAGTTATAGAAAAATGGGTGAACAGACATTAAAAAATCCAACTTCAAGTACTTATTCTGTTTTAAAATGATAGCTTGGAATTTCTCGGAATAACTGCTGTTGCTAGAATAAAAATAAAACTCTGCAGAACTTTCTGCCAAACAAGTAGCCTTATTTTATGCAACCAGCCATCACGATTTATGAAAAGGTTCTCCAAAAACAAAGAACAAATATTACAATGAAGAGGGATGGTAAAGAAATTTATTTGCAAAATTCCTTCAAGAGGAAAGATTGGCAAATGCATTCAAGAGATTAGTTTTTTATTCCAATTCCCTGTGAATTTGTTTAACGCGCTTATTAAATCAGCCCATTTCTATGGGCAAACAAATCATGACGTATAGCTCAGAATTAAAACACATTCTGTAACCACGTATGTGTTTTCTCAAACATTCCATATCTGCCTGGGGGAAGAGAAAGTCTCCCTGGCACAGACCCTCAATGGATTTGGAAGGGGTTATATACCTGGAAACTAGCCACTGTAGAAGAAAGGAAAAAACATTTTGAACAAGTGGATATAATGAACTGCTCTCATGTACCAAATTCTTTGAAATGGGCAGTTATTTTCAAGCCCGATTCCAGGAAGAAACACAAATTATTTTTAAGCATTTTTACAGAAAGCTGAACGCTATTGCTTAACTTGCTTGTGCCTTCAAAGACCAATTTAAAAAACATCGTCACACATTTGAAGATGAGATCTGGAAACCTGGAAATGCCTATCAAAGCAAGGTTTGTGCATTGCATAACAGGCAGGATGTTCCACTCGTGAGGAAGTGCAAGCACACAGCAAAAGGAAAGCCAAAACAATCTTGAGGGCAATGCTGCAGTAAAATGCAGTTACTGAGCCCTTAGTTTGTCACTGCTGCTGGGAGAGAAGTAGAAGGAATTATTTAAAAAAATCAGTAACTTTGTGAGATGCAATAGTCACAGTCAAAGCATTTTCATCTCTTAATTCTCAGGGAAGGCTGTTGTATCCAAAAGACTCATTTTTTTTTTTTTAATTCAGGAACCATTTTTTCATTTGGAGACCATTTCCTTTTCAAATGAACGCACAAAGAACAATGGCTTTTCTCTTTTCAAAAGATCTTTGAAGGGGAAGCCTGCCCAGTGGCTAAAGCACAATATCAAAACTTAATTTCATTAACAGATCTGGTAACAGTCTTCTCCGACCTTGCTTCCCGTTCCATCTCTGCAACAAGAGGTTCCTAAGACACGCTACTTCGGAAACGTTAGGAGACAGAATTCCAAACCAAAAACACTTGCAACAAGAAGCACAACGTTTTGCATGCAGCTCTCAATACCAAGCAAGCAATCAGCAAACTGCCAGGTTAGCGAACAGACCACCACGGTATTGGCTTTTATCTGCGCCAGTTGGAATGCCCACTTCATCGCGAGCGTCTGCGGGCCACGGGCAGAAATATTGGAAGTGAGCAGGAGTTGCCATTAGTGGCTGATAGGGCCATTATGCGATGTTGTCCTCTCTGAAGGGGAAGCAAGCACTTACACTTGGTTACCCTAAGATTTCCATCAAAACATAGACTTGTGTGTTTCACCGAGTGTTGGAGTAGACACAACCTTTGAGGAAAAAAAAAAGTGATCCCCAAAATATTTGCAATTGCTGGTTTACATCTTGCCTTCTAAAGAAACTAATTTTCACTAGATTGCAGCAACACTTGTTAATGATTTAAGCAGCAAAACATAAATATTAAATGAAAGGGATAGTTGTATCAAATTACTCCATTATGTTGCTGCAGCAAAGACAGCTTTCAATTATTTCCTAAATAGGAATCTAAGAAGATTCCAGTAACAAAATAGCCTTGTCCAGCACACGATTGCATCATCAAGGACACCGCATATATATATGCATGAACACAAATATACAATAAGCAAAACTCCTTATTTCTGCTTTGAGTCAGGCATACAATCAGCATAATCAAGAAAAAATAAAAAGGCATCAAAGGTCAAATTCTACATCATTTGTTTCCAGCGATTCAAAAATTCAGTATGCTTTCAACACACAGATGACTAAGTGACCAAAGGAGCTAAAGATTTTCTACAAAAAAAAAAGTTATAAAAAGCAGTCGCCCAAGATGGCTTCAAAATTAATCAGCATCTTTCTGGGTCTGCAGTGCTCAAGTCCTGTTCTGCTGCCCTGCCCTTTTCTTCACAGAAGCGATAGTAACAGACTGGAAAGCACTTCACTCCAACACTTTCCTTTTCTTGGCATGGAGAAGTGTCAGACTCGGTCTTGACATGTACGGCTTCATCTTAGTGTTTATGTAAACAGATACCAACATGCTACACAAAAATTATTTCTTTACCGTGATCAAAATACGTGTGTATGATGTTTTATGTTTGGAACAGAACCCAGAAGGCAAGGCTGACTTTGCCCGTTTCCTGAGATTTCCTTGATGTCAAACCAAGCACGTTTCCAGCACTGCGTATATATTTGGGCCTTATACGCAGCAGCAAGGACACACTTGATCTCATTCTGTCACCCTGAACATCAGCTATGTGTCAGGGTACAGAATGAATTAAACTGTGAGCCAAGCCTGGCTGCAGCGAGGCTGAAAAAAGACCGACTCCAGCTGTGCCCCTTTTTCTCATGGTTTCAGTGTATAAATTTGGTATGCTGGACACAGGTTCATTATATTCATTACAAATCCTGACATTAAAATCAATTATTACTATACATTCTAAATTTACAAGGGCTCTACCTGATATTGAACCAGCTAGTAGCTCTGCAGTAGAAAAAAGGTCTCTAATGGGAAGTTATTGCCAGCAGCTGCTCTGTTGTCAGCAGGCTGCAGAGGCAGGCCCTGCAAACCAAGCAGAAACTCAGCCCTTCATGACGAACTGAACTGTTCCTACAGCTGAATCCACAAAGTCATCATTAAATATATTTGTATTTCTTTAGGGTGTCTTATAACGTGATACATATTACACCGTTTCTATCTACAGATCTGTCAAATGATTTTAAAATGGGTCATCCTGGTTCTTACAGCATGGCTAGAAATACTGCAGTCACTTTGAAATTTCTACTTTTGCACTTCTTTGAAGATCTTGAAAAACAACCCACTAAACGTAAAAGAACTCTTGGATTTTTGGATTCCCCCTAAAGGAGTTTACAAAAGGCACAGACACATAAAAGCGAGGTTTAACTAGTGGTCGGATGAAGAGAAGAATAGTTCTGGTTTAATTTTTAGTGCAAATTAGGTTCCATATTATACAGTTCATTTCAGATTCATAAAAAGTCAGC